ATTATCACTCAACTTTACGTGAAATATATCGTGAATTGGTAATCAGTAATTTACAGGCAACCAATTCGCGATATATTCCACGTAAAGTTGATCGATGTTACAAAACCATTCATGGACCTTACTGGATACCATAACCATTGCCATTAATGTTCTCAAACCATAAGTTAAAAGGTTTTAGTATAGTTTTCTTTCCGAAAATGTATTGAGAAAACAAGAATTTTGAATGGTAATGGTTCTTAACAACCCATTATTTGTAAGGTCCACTTCCAAAAAACTATAATACTTAAGGTTAAAACTTTATCATTAAACGTTCATGTAAAGTTCCATAACCATTTCAGTTGAAGTTTAGCAGGGATTATAAACAATTTTTAACCATTTTCGGTAAGGTCAATTTATGGTTCGCGCTTATGCGGGCACTTAAACAGTACCACTGAACTGTCATCAGATTGAGGTTAACCCCAACGGTGCAAAACCTAATAAGGCTGACAGCTAAAAATCAAGAGTGTGTGAGTGATCTGGTGTTAATGGTTCTGAATGTAAACATAAACAAAGCACAAATTCATATGAGAATAAACTGCCAGTTGTACTGTAATCTGTCAAAAATTCTTGGTAAACAAAAAATTAAGCTGTTCGCAACTGTCTTGTGGACAGCCTTATTCATCTACATACACTATAGTCGCTGTACTCATAGTCTGGCTGATAGAATCTCGGGAACCAATTGCGCTGTCAAATAGTGGAACAAATCGAGCAAATCACGATCAACAACAGATAAGAGCACATATGCTATTGCGATCAAAACTTCGGAAACCCTTTTCTCAGGACTCAAAGCTCGCCTATGCAAACTAACACCATCTTTGCGGCGTTCGTTTGGCGAGTAAAGAATAATCAACGTATTTTTTTATAAAAGCAGATAGTACCTTTTCAATTGATGATTCCGCTTTTTGATAGATCGAAATTCTACCCGTCAGCCTATAAATATAGCGACTATAATCTACACTGGGTTGAAGCGCTACTCCTTGCGTGAAATGGTAAATGATAAAAACAGACACTCATTTGGATATTAATTTCATTTATAAATGACAATTTTAGATTGTAGATTTACCCCCTGTACCTTCCCGTAAAGCTCAAACGCAATATTGGCGGAAACGGAGAGTTTGACAGTTGTCACAAATAGCATCAAGATGCCTAACCGAAGTCGATTTGGTTCTAAATAGTTGTCAATCCAACAAGTAGTCTTACTCAGATCGAGCCGTTGCTGTTCCGCTTCCGCTGTCATTCCGCGTGTACCTTAAGACTCACTGCTTGATGTTTATTTTTCGAATTATTTTTAGAACCCAGGTTAGAGTCGATAAAATATATGTGTCGAAAGAAAATGTAACTTTCATGTAATTTTTATATACACAATACTTAGATTGATTTATGATATGTACAGTCGACTTTCTCTCGTTGGGCTATCTTTAAGTGGGCTATGTTTTAGGTTTTCGGGTTCCCGTTAGTTGGGCTGTAGCCCACCTAAATGGAAGTCAAACGTCATTTCTGACAGTGCTAATACGTTTCCGAAGGGCTGGGGAACAATTTGGATAGTTTGTAAACGATTGTGATGAGAATAAACAAACGGGTTATCCCACAAACAATTTTCATCTTGACAGCTCAGCCCAACTAACGAAAGCCTTTCACTAAGTGGGCTATGGGTTTAGCCCAACGATCGAAATTTGACTGTATATGATAATGTAGCTTGGTTTCAAATTCATTTCAGTTAATTTTTATAATTTGACTGATTTTTATTTACCATCTATCATATAAAGCTATCAGCGGCGCCAGTGGTGTAAGCGTGATTACAGCAGGCCTGGGTTCAATCCCAGTCGGCGCCGCCGGGATGTTCTGAAGCATAACATCTATGATCATGGAAGGGAAGTAAAGCCGTTGGTCCCCGGTTCATGAGTTGTGATGGGTCGATAGGTAGGGTCCAGGTGTGGGAGCTGCCTCACTGGCGTCGGTAGCATTGGTGCTCAGCACGGAAAACAAGATCGACGGAAAAGAAAATCAAGGAAAAAAATATATATAAAAGCAATCAACTTATCAGCATTGTAAATGTATCAGATATTCCTATAGCAAATATTTTCAATCATAGCGTTTTCAAAGGATTTTCTTATAAAGCAAATTTATTAGACTTCCACATAACGGGAATACGTCATATTGGTACAGTGTAGGGATAAGTTTGACAGATGCAGCTTTGCATGTGATTTAAGTTCACGATTGCAGAAACTAAAATCATTAATGGTTAATGGTATCACGAAATCATGATTTTATCTTGTATTTTGCTTAGCATTACGAAATCACTAGTCACGCTGAACAGGCTTTGAAAATAAGTTCATGAAAATTCGATTTACTCGATCACGTTTATAGGAACTAACATGAAGGTAAAAGAATTAGTAGTTCAGCTTACCGTTATTCTATGTTAACGGAACGGTTTTTTTGCGAGGCGTTTGTTAATTCTTTTAACCGTAGCTCTCATTTCTCTACTTGGTGTTATCTACAAAAACATTTCATGGCTTTCAAATGCATCATTTTCCCAAATGAGAGATTATAAAAAAATGTTATAGCTTTAATGCATAAAGGGTGATACGGTCAAAATTTGGTCAAGGGAAAACGCGTGTAAATCGGTGAAATCGTTTATTTAAAAAATCAAATTAAATTTCTTTTTCAAGTTCAATTAGTAATACTAATTGAACTTGAAAAAGAAATTTAATTTGATTTTTTAAATAAACGATTTCACCGATTTACACGCGTTTTCCCTTGACCAAATTTTGACCGTATCACCCTTTATGCATTAAAGCTATAACATTTTTTTATAATCTCTCATTTGGGAAAATGATGCATTTGAAAGCCATGAAATGTTTTTGTAGATAACACCAAGTAGAGAAATGAGAGCTACGGTTAAAAGAATTAACAAACGCCTCGCAAAAAAACCGTTCCGTTAACATAGAATAACGGTAAGCTGAACTACTAATTCTTTTACCTTCATGTTAGTTCCTATAAACGTGATCGAGTAAATCGAATTTTTCAGGAAAAATATTCAGTTAGGCTTCCGCTTTTCCAAATCCGAATTGCCGGGCCTTACGCTTGACCCCTGCCATCAGATTTTGTACAGCCACCTTGTCCACCTTCTTCGCCGCAGAAATCCAGTTTGCCTTGAACTGCTGCTCGCCCTTAGCAGTTTTTTTGGTCTTCTTTAGGTTCCGCTTGACAATAGCCCAGTATTTCTCAATTGGGCGGAGCTCTGGCGTGTTGGGAGGGTTCTTGTCCTTGGGAACCACCTGCACGTTGTTGGCGGCGTACCACTCCATGGCCTTTTTACCGTAATGGCAAGATGCCAAATCTGGCCAAAACAGTACGGAACAACCGTGTTTCTTCAGGAAAGGCAGCAGACGTTTATTCAAACACTCTTTCACGTAAATTTCTTGGTTGACTGACCCGGAAGCTATGAAAATGCTGCTTTTCAAGCCACAGGTACAGATGGCTTGCCAAACCAGATATTTCTTTGCGAACTTTGACAGTTTCATGTGCTTGAAAACATCTGCTACCTTTCCCCTTCCTTTTGCCGTATAAAACTCCTGTCCCGGAAGCTGCTTGTAGTCGGCTTTGACGTAGGTTTCGTCGTCCATTACCACGCAGTCAAACTTCGTCAGCATCGTCGTGTACAGCCTCCGGGATCGCGCTTTGGCCGTCGTATTTTGTTTATCATCGCGATTTGGAGTCACTACCTTCTTGTAAGTCGATAGTCCGGCTCGTTTTTTGGCTCGATGCACGGTTGTAGACGATACACCCAGCTTATTTGCGGCATCTCGGAGAGAGAGGTTAGGGTTTCGCTTGAAACTACCGGCAACTCTCTTTGTCGTCTCAGCGGCTTCCGGTTTTCGATTTCCCCCCGATCCAGACTTCCTGGCTGTCGACAAACGTTCCCCAAACACTTTAATTACATTTGTAACGGTTGATTTGGCAACTTTTAGCGATTTTGCCAACTTTGCGTGCGAGTAGCTCGGATTTTAGCGATGCGCGAGCAAAATTTTGATACGCTGCTCTTCTTGCTTGGACGGCATTTTGACAACTGAAGAGTGAATTCCAAAATCAAAATAGGAGCAACATTCTACACACACACACCTTCAAAATGAGGGGTGTTCAGGTTTTTTAAATGCAAAATTGAAAGAAATCTCATGCATGAGTTTATGCGCCTATGAGTTTTGCCTTGCAAAATTCAACGTCGCAAAAATCACCGATGAGTTTTCAGGTTAAAAAATTCAGTGCTTTATATTTTGGCGTTATTCATTGTTATTACTATTGTTTGTGCATCAGGGGTTTGAAAACTAATACATCATGCATGACGTTTGAGTGGTTTTTTATGAGTTTAAAGCTGGAATGATTTTTCGGCGTTGTGAGTGTGAGTGCGTGAATATGCATGAGAATCTCAAGCGTGAATTTTGTTTGCCGCATTCGCACGCGAGTTTATTCTCGCAGGGAGGCTCAATAAATGAGATTTGAGAATGATTTTACGAACACTGGTCTAAATATTTAAAAGGCAATTTCTGGCCATAGGCTCCAAAATGCTACACATTATCATTGCACTGATGCCAGAGTTACCAGTAGTAATCAGGAGCTCAGGGTAATGCATTTAATAACATATTTTCAATTATTACGCACCTTGTTATACCCATTGATGAGTATGTGATCTGTGTAGGTTTGGTAACTATGAGTTCTATGAAATTGAACTATGAGTACTTAAAAGGGTATTGTAAATTTAATTCATTATTAATTTAAAGTGATATAATCGATGCACAGATTACCCTACCGTTGCATTCGTTTTAAATTACACATTTTTCTGTGAAACATAGCATATTTGCTAATGATGTCAAAAATGTTCAATCTCTATAATAAACTTAATTATCATCAATAAAACATGTCCAACACATTATTACATTTAGCATTCTTCTCTTTTATTACAGGTGTCGTGCTCCAATAGCATCGTTAGATTGTATGGAGGAATTCAGTGGTACGACAGCACAGCTAGATTTCGGTATAAAATTTTTATTTCTATTTTTATGTGTCGTAGATTGTGAACCAGATTGTAAGCAAATATGGCGTTACACATAACAAATTATTATTACAATTAACGGAAAAATTGCTGATATTACTTTCGAAATGAAGAGCACAATTTTAAATATTTTTAAAGCAACCAATTTAAATAAGCGCGATTGCAACTAAACTATAGTCAAACCATAAAAAATATGTTCACCGTTTGTTTTTAAACGAACGGCTGTACAAGGAACATTTTGTTTTCCAGCACTTTATCAAAATGCATTTCTGAAATTCTTTTTTAATTAAATTTTGTGATACAAATTAAATTACATTTACCCACACAATTTATGCCAAACATAGGCAATGTTAAGTATGTTACAGATACTTATTTTTCTTTTATTACAGGTCGTTCTACCAGTTTGGGTTCAAATGCTGCTATTCCAGTTCGCAACAATGCTACAACCACACCTGGTTTGCGTTACAAAAACCTTGGCAAAAGTGGTCTTCGAGTATCGAATGTTGGCCTCGGAACATGGCCTATCTTTTCCGCTGGGGTTTCAGAAGAACAAGCTGAATCTATTCTACGGTTGGCTGTCGATAGCGGTATCAATCTTTTTGATCTATCGGAAGCACATTCTGGTATGATTTAAATCAGCATTTAGCATATCCCTCATGTTTCGTTGATATAACATCCTAGTATGGCTACTATGAATTGTATACATATTGAAGGATTGACCAAGATTAATTTACAGTTATAAGCAGTTCCACGCAAAATCTTCCTAAAAAAACTGAAATCTGACGCGAACCTTTCCTATTTTAAGCTTTGTGTATGATTTCGGCAGGGGCGAATATGAATTCCATAGCTATTTAGAGCATTTTGACTCAAGCATCAAATGTTAAATGGGCGAATGTATTTTCATGGGCGTATCTCAAAAACTATTGATTGTACTGAGATAGTATCTAAGGATGAAAAGTACATAATTGTTTTTGAAACGTAAAAAATATACACTAAACAAAATGACATTTTTTAAATACATTTAAAAAAATTCAATCCCAATAATTGAAAAAAAAAAATAGATAAGATAGATATTTAAAAATCATTTTTTTCAGGTAGAAAATTACGTATCGTAAAGCGGGGTATCGTTGATAATGCGGGACACTTTGGTAGTAGTATACAATGATTAAATTTATTCTCTGCACTATAACAAATTGGAAAAAAAATTAGTTTCATTTTGTAGCTTAGGGTATTACCAAAGAGGTAATTCTAAGACTAGAAGGTCCCGAAATCACGTGCTTAACTTTTTGGCTTAGCTCTGGTACTCTCTTCGGTCCCAAGCTAGTCGATTCACCCCTCGAAACATAGGAAAATCCACCAACCCCTCATTTTATCTGTCAAACTTTCATAGCGAATTAAAACAAACATTGTGTAGTAGTAGAATTTCGACTAGAATGGGGTACGTTAATCGTTTGCTTGGGACCAATAGGCTAGTCAAGTAGTGAGCCAATTTAAAATCGATAGTTTCGTATTGATTGTTGGTATTACCTTTAATATCGTAAAGAGTTTTTAAAAAGTATGTTTTACATATTTTCCAAATATTTGAGTAAACAATTTTCTTGTTTTTCACCTGATTGAAAAGCCACTAAACAATCACTTATTAAATGTATTTTCGATATAGCAATCACAAAAGCAATATTGTCTTTTTATTGCTTATAATTATGATGATTAAATGCTCATTCAAAGATTCCTATTTCTCATTTCATTTTCATTTTCTATTTCAAGCACAGAATGGGGTTATAGGGTCAGGTTTCCAGTGAAACACCCAGTCTTGTAAACGGTCACGTTCATCTACACTTTATTACGTATATTAGGAGAAGAAGGGGCATAGTGAACAGGTGGGGCATAGTGAGCTTCCTGTGCTTTAACCTTGGATTTATTATGGTTCGACACAAATGAATTGGTCATGAATCATTGCATTGGTGATATTAAAAATCGAAAATCATGTGCAATTTCACATAGAAATCCGTTAATAAAAATGTGTGGATTTTATTGCGTGTACGAATTCGTGTTTTTCGTTATTCTTCTCGTTTTTGTCCTAAAACATTCGTGGAATTGTTTTAAGTGCCGTTCTCTGTGCGTTAGCTGTTATTAGTAAATATTTTAAAATACACTGAAGTCTTTTTTTTACGCGATTTTTTTTACACGGTTTTTTTACACGGTTAGTGCCGCTGAGTCGCAATTTACACGGTACGTTTTTAACGATTTCTCGACAACGATACAACCTATCGACTTGATTCCAATCACATTATCCGTTTCAAGCTATAGGGAATCGAATGGCATACTTTTAAAAAAGATCACAATTTTTTATGTAAAAACAGAAATTTTAATTTAATAACAAATGGCATCAAAATCCGATTTATAAAAAAAATATTTAAGCATGTGAAAAATCAAAATCTTGGAAGTTTTTTTTACGCGGCACGTATCCCCCGCGTAAAAAGCGACTCCAGTGTAGATCCCAAATATCGTTAATCGCAGCAATGGAAGGATCGGCATCATCCATCGATCACGCGGTTTATTGAAGGATGAGGTATCAAAAAAAAAATGATTGCCATTGACAGGCAAACATTTATCGAAGCTATATTGAAGCTCGTCACCCTGCATCATGTTCCGCTGCACTGCGTTGAATGGGAAGGGGTTCAGCTTCTATTGAAACCCATTGGTGACGATCTAAACGTGTGCATGAATCGACCGAATGTGGTAAACCACCTAACAGTTGCTGCTGGGAAGATAAGATCCGCGATAAAGGTCCTTGTAAAGGGTAAGCTACTGCGCCTGAAAATTGACAGCGCTACTAGACATGGACGACCCAAACGGCTCAAAAGGCCCGTGGGTTGTTTTTTCCGGCCCAAACAAAAACCATTGAATATTTCTCGGATTTCGAAGGATCTGACAAAACATTTTTCGACCGTAACCGATATCTTTAAGGTAACGCCAAACAAACTACGCGTTACCGTTGATGACCCAAACCAGGCAAACCGGATTGTTTCCTGTGAGCTTTTTACGATGAAATATCGAGTCTACATCAGGGTTGCCAAAAGGAAATCTGTGTTTTTGTTCAAAGAAATCTTTTCATCTTAGTTTTTGTCCAGAAAATCGGTGATGATATCTGTGTTGATAATTTATTAATTGAATCCTTAAAAAATTTCATTTCAAAAGTCATTGAGCAAAAAACCTCTGACATCTCATTCTTCTTTTTCATTCCGCAAAAAAATCATGCATAAATATAAAAGTTTGTGATGATAAAATTACACTGAAGCCAAAATAATATTTTGTTATTAAAAATCTCAAGTTAAATGTAATGAATGTTTGATCATATTCTAAAAATCTGTTTAACCTGTTAAAATCCTAGAAATCTGTAATCTGTGAATACAGAATCTTGATTTTAAAAAAAATTTCAGAAATTTTAATACCTAGATTCTGTATTCACAGAATCTGTAGAAATACAGATTTATCTGTAGTTTTGGTAACCCTGGTCTACATCCCCAGTTTTGACGTAGAAATCGAAGGAGTGGTCACTGAAGCGAGTCTAACTTGCGAAGATTTCCTTCATGCCGAATCCTTCGGTATTTTTAAAAACCGTGCCCTTCCGAAAGTGAAGATTCTGGATTGCATACAAATGCAATCAGTGTCTCTCATTGGCACACAAAAAAAAACGTATTCTCTGTCAGACTCGTTTCGTGTGCCCTTTTCATACTCCATTTTTCCAGGGCTCTGACTCAGAGGTTGGTGAAGGTAGTCCCTTTGTCTTTAAAGGCAACACGAGAAAGCGATTAAAAAAAACGTCACTCAAAATCCTCGTAAGACCTCTCGTATGGACTCTCAACCTACCTTGACAAATTTAAGAGGTAGCGGAAATGTATCGAAACCCCCACAACCGGGATTTAAATCTTGTAATTTTAACAAGGACTTTCCAGCACTTCCGGGATCATCTAAAACCCCAGATATCCCATTTTTCATCCAGAAGAACAGCTGAAAAATCAGCAAGAACACGCTCCCATGTTCATGTTTTCTTGAATTGTGGAGAGCATCTTCAATATATTCAACGTCTCTGACTCAACGAGGAACATTATTAATTTAGTGCTTCGAATTGTGAAAACTCTTTTGAAGCAATTAGCTTCTTGGTGGTCATCCTTGCATCGATCATATCTTTTGATGGATAATTTTCCGAATGAGATCGGGGATATGATCTCTGTTCTTCAGTGGAACTGTAGAAGTCTTATACCGAAACTTGACATATTCAAATTTTTAATATCGATCTCCCTTTCCACGATTTTAACATTATTCGCCTTGATCGAGCAGATTTGTATGGAGGAGTGCTTCTCGTTATTAATATGCTCAATTCCTTTTATATAATCGATCTGCCTTCCGTGACAGGCATTGCAGTTGTTGCATGTCAGGTAAATATTCGAGGTAAAAGCCTAGTATTGCCTCAGTATATTATAGTATAGATTTCTCGCCAAGGTCTCTCAGATATCTGCTAAGGTTTATCTGAGCCTCGGTTGATCTTAGGAGATTTTAACTCCCACGGTACAGGCTGGGGGGAACTGTACGATGACAACCGCTCAACCCTGATATACGACCTTTGCAATAACTTCAATGTGACAATTCTAAGCACTGGGAAAGTAACACGAGTGGCCAAACCTCCAGCAAGAGAAAGTAGATTAGACCTCTCCCTCAGTTCGAGTTCACTATCGTTGGATTGCTCGTGGAAAGTAATTCAAGATCCCTACGGTAGTGACCACTTGCTAATCAAAATTTCTATTACCAATGGTTCATCGTTCACCAACTAGGTTGATAACGCGTATAATTTCACGAAAAACAACTGTCAAAATTTTGCGTCCGCGGTTTTCGGAGGTATTGATTTGGTTGAGATACTCCCTCCGCTGGATGAGTACTCCTTTTTATCGCGACTTATAGCACTCTTCAAGCACAGACAAAACACGTTCCGCGGATTCCTAGTTGAGCATTCAGTCGGTTAACAACGTCCCGGTTTCAGTTGCGCGGCATCTAGTTTTTTTCGGTGTTTTTTCCGCCCGAGCGGTTTTTTTCACCCCCCATTGGGTGCCCCAAGTGACCAGTGTCCAACAGAGGAAGTGGAATTCCATCGGCCGAGCCCCTTGGAGTTACCATCCAGCTTTAATTCATCCCGGTAATCCATCACCGGAGTTAACGGCGTCGTCAAGTCCATCATTTTTTCACGCCGTCGCGAGGGTGTGCAAGTGATAGTGAAGCGTGTCGTATCACCAGCTTGCCGACCCACCAACACCAACCATCACCACCGGATAGCAGCGTGGACCAACACCAACGCACCACGTGATAACAGCGTTTCCACACACACGCTTTGTGCCGGTGTAGTTAAGTAGCGAATAAGTTTTATTTATTGCCCCTTTGTTTTAGTTTCCCCTTTCTCCCATCCCACGCAAATATTTTCTTCTTCTTCTTCTTTTTCTCTTGTCCCTGTGTGTTCCCTGTGTGTAGTTGTTTTGTATCTATTGCGGTGGCAGTTGCCCCGCAATGGATGGTAATAGTGATGGCGGGGGGAATACCCTTCCTGCCCTTCCCACTGAAGACGAACTGTCCG